TTATTAAAGAAAAAGAAAAATTAAAGAGTTTAATAACATACAAATGAGAAATCGTCAAAAGGATAACGAGACCTAAAGCAACTTAAAACAAGTTAAATACCACCAAGTGTCGTGTGCTTCTGGTCACAGGTTTGAGTCATAAGTTATCCTTTTAAAGGTATTAGATGTGGAATGCTTGTTTCTTATCAGTCTAGTACTCAATTTAAATGCTTGCGCTCACACTCACATGTATTCTTACCGTTAGCATATTTAATGAAGTTGGGTTTAAATGCTCCTTGTCCAAGAGGTAACGCCTAGTTATGGGGCCTTCAACGAACATTCTATTGGGGTCTCTTTGGTAATTTTAGGGATGGCATGATAGTTGCCGCCTCCCCGAACTTATTCTTTAAAAAAAGAAAGAAAACAAAAAAACCTAAAGGGCCTAAGTCAACAAGTCGGGACATGAGGCCAGAAAGAAAAAGCCATAACTTTACCTGTGAAAATCAAACCCACGATAGAACTCATTAAAATCCTACCTAGTAAAACCCAGAGGGAAAAATCTGCTTGTGCTTATCAACAAAATAGACCTAAGAGCCAAAAGCAAACGAGAATAAAAGAGATCATCACATACATAGAGTCACATAGCGCAAGAATAAAACCCATCAACTTAACTTCAAAAGCAAACGAAATATCAAGAGGATCCAAACATAGAGAAAAAAAAAATTAAAACCACATATTTCACTTAGGTAATGGAATATTTTTGTAACTAAATGTTTTTTTATCGGATATTGGAAATAAATGGATATTTTATATCTTCCTTGTTAAAAATTGTCGTATTTCTTTTGGCTTATTGCTAGAACAATGCTTAAATGAAGTGTTGTTATACACTAGCAATTTTTTTTTTCATCTTATTAGTCATGTTGATAGCATAAAACATAAAACATGACAATCAGTATAATAATTACTATATAATTATGCTACTATATAATTTCTTTAATTTGTATATTTCAATTCTACTCTTGTAAATATGTCACATAATTTAATATCTACTATTATTTAATTCATTTTCCTTTATTTTTAAAATAGTTTTTTAATATTTCTGTCCTTTTCTAGTTACCTAATGCCTCTTACTAAACATACTACAATTTTAAGGTTTTAGCTTTTATTTTCTAGCTAAATCTGGTCGAATTTATCCTACGGTGATCAATGATGCGGAGGAGTAGTTTAGCTTTTTCATAGGCAGAGGACTTAGAAAATATAATTTTAGGGAATTTCTACCCAAGAAATTGTCTTTTTTACTCTTTAACCGTTATGTTATTTTTTCGCAGTTAGAATTATGATCAGAAACAACTATGTGTAACGAGTCGTAAATTTTTAATATAGACAGTCACATATTAGGCCGTTCAAAATTAATCCAAACAGTTATTCTCCTAGGAGTTCAATATATTTAAACCCTTCTTTTACATTCTTGCAAAAAGAAAATAATAATAATAATAATGGTAATAAGGGATCATCTAAATATCACTTATGTCCTTATTATGTAAATACTTAAATTACCACCTGTGTTTATAAAATCATACACAAACAACCCCTGGAGCAATTAATTTTTTTTTTTTTTTATAAAAAAAGAACAATCAATTATAAAAATAAAAAAGAAGTAGAACAAAATGAAAAAAAAAATAAAAAAATAAAAAAAAAAGAAGAAAACAAAGAATAAATGGAATGTAAAAACAAATCTAGTCTAGTCTAGATATAAAAATGTAATAAAAAATGGTGAAGAATTAAAAATATAAGGAAAGGAAAAGAAATAGAGAGAAATTTCTCACATTGTAAAGTCATAGAATCATAAATCCTTATTAGCAACATCAACTAATGTAAAGCAGAACAAATCGATCAATACATCCACCCTAGTGTAAAGCATAAATCAAAGAACAACGAAAGTTTACGAAATTTGAGAAAGTGAAAATTTTAAAAATAAAAGTGGGAGGGAAAATGAAATAACAAACAATTCTATCAGTACTAAATTAGATGTTTGCAGATATTAATTGTGAGAAAAAGAGCCAAGTGAACAATATATATGTGCTCAGAAAAAATAGACAAATCGACTAGAAAAAATCAGCCCAACAATAATCACCATATCGGCCATGTGCCCCAAGTAAAGTATAATATACAAATATTAGACGTGTTTTATTATTTAAAAGTACTTTTTTTTTAATATTATATAAGTGGATATTTTTAGATTTATGATTATTGAGGATTATTCTCATTAGTGTTCTTGTATTTTATAATCATTTTAGTTTATCCTCTAAATTTTAAAAACTCTCACTTTGTTTTTTGAACTTTGAATTGCTCTCACTTAACATTTTTCTCATAATTTTTATTAAAATAAGACATAAAAAAAGAGAGTTAAGTGTGGTCATGTGGTTTTTATCTATTTTTTAACATAAATGCAAACAGAAAGATCACGCGACTACGTTATTCTCTTTTTTTTTATCTGTTTTTAACAGAAATTATAACCGAACGAGTTAAATGGAAACAATTCAAAATTTATTGAACAAAATTAAAATTTTTAAAGTTTAACGGAAAAACTGAGAATGATCTTAAAATTTAAAAAGCGTTAATAATAATAATCCCGACTTCTAAAGTATGCATTTTATGTAATTATTTCACGATAATCTGCCCCCTTTTCACCTCTCCTGGTTTACTAGACTGATGAGTCCTACTACTCATATTAGGATTCAATTTCAACCTAATCTTTCCTTTATGTAAGAATCATACCCGCACTCAGCCAAAGCCAAAAAAAAAAAAAAAAAAAAAACATCGCGACACACAGACTGGAGAGACTAAACCTTTGAATAGGGGTGTTCGGCGGTTAAAAACCGCCGGTTTTAGTCGGTTCAGTAGCCGAACCGACCATGTCAGTTTTCTAAAATCAGAAACCGAAACCGAACCACAGAAAGTACTATTCAGTCTGGTTAACCGAACTTCAGTTTTCGGTCGGTTTTCGATTTTGGTAATCAAGACTGTGACCATCAGTTAACCATCAGGTTACCATCCTCTTTAGTTGCATTTTTTTACCAGAAAATGCAAAAAAAATATACATTATAGCATCATACTAAAAAGTTTAAATCATTTAAAGTTCTAAAATAAGTTTTATCATAATCTAAGTCCTTACATAGTTGTTGTCCATGAAAATTTCAGTAATAGTACCCATACTTTGAAACTTCACCAAAAATTCATTTTAAAACATGTTTGGACAAAATTTTGTAGAGAGTAACCTGATATGTCTACTTTAACTCCACAAAACTTCAGCTTCAAATTCAAACTATAAATAGAGAAAACATACTCGTAATGTACACTACCCGCTATTAAAATTTCATATTCATTTAGGCATTTTCACAAACATCTTGCATGCAGCTCAATAAAACACATAAAAACAACATAAGATTCATTCTAATCTGCCTGAAATAACAATTATATACAATAATAAGGTAGAAGCAATAACTGTATGTTCGATTTTCGTCATAAACATGTCAAAACTCAAAACACTCACGTTCAAGAACATACATGCAACTCAAATTTGTAAATAAAGCACCAGCTGAAAATAAAAGAAAGAAAAGAAGAAAAAATAGAGGCAAAGCAAGCATAACCCATTAACGGCAGTGGTGGCAGAGGGCAGTGGTGGTACCTGGAGACTCGGCGCGACAGGAAGGGGGCAGTCCGGCAGAGATTAACTCGGACGGAGATGACAGAGGGCGGACATGTGAGGAGAGACAGAGGCATGGAGCGGCGGGCGCTGGGGGCTAGGATTTTTTTTCCCCAAATCTGAGAGAGTGAGACTGTGAGTCGTGAGAGACAAAGAGAGATTGTGAGAGTGAAAGAATGAGAGATTAGTCAGACTGAAGGGGAAAACGACAACATAAGCAATAAAACAGTGAGAAATGGTTTAAAACAACAACAGAAAAAAGTTATATAACTCTTATATAATACATTCGGCCGGTCCGGTTTATAACTGAACCTCAAGGGCCTAAACCAAAATTGAACCGCATTGAAGCATTGTCGGTCGGTTAACTGAACTAATTTTTGTCAGTTTCACGTAGTGCCGTATTCTTTAATTTTTGAGCGGTCAATTTTTCAGTTGGTGACAGTCGATTTTCATTTTACAATTTTTTTGTACAATCCTACCTCTGAATAGGTAAATCTATCTAGTTTCCTCTTCGTTTAACTTCTATCACTTCATATTTACTTAGGAAATATGTTCGATGGTTCTGGGTTTTTAAGGATTTTTACGTTTGCATTAAAACTTAAAAAAAATTTGAACTCAAGTTATAACTTTATTTAAATTTACGTTCTTTTAAAAATTTGAGTTTGAACTTGAGTTTTAACCTGAATTTGATGTTAAAATCTGAGTTCAAATTTTCCCTTCAACTCAAGTTCATAAACCTAAATTCAAGTTAATGAACAATATTTTTTCTATTATTAAAAATATTATAACTTTTTCGTTTTAATTCTGATTGAGATGATTCTTTTTTTTATGCGTTCACAACGAACAGACGAATAAAACTCTATATATATACCATATTAAAATTTCCCATCATCATTGAGTTTTTATCTAAATACAAACTCAAGTTTTGACTCACCAAAACACAAACTTAAAAAGATTATTATCTCAAATTATAACTCAAATGTACACAACTAAACATAAACTCAAATTACAACTTAAACTCAAGCCCATTCATTTTACCGATTTGAGTTTAGAATTTGAGTTTAGCTACAGTAAAAAGCTCTCAGAAACAGTCACATCTAATATTTTTACTACAATAAAAAAACTCTCATATAAAGTCACATCTCAACTCAAATTAAAAACTCAAATAAACGAACTAAATGGGACCTCAAATTATAACTTAAATTCAACTTAAAATCTATACTAAAATCTCCCTAACTTAAAAAATATAACTGTACAGCCCTAAAAGCTTTTTTGTTTCTTTGCTCACATTCCGATTGCTTTTTTTTTTTTTTGGTTAAAATTTTTGAAATAAAAGGCTTTCCATCCTTATCGGAGTTTTCAATCTAAGTAAAAAGTTTATTCCTTGATTTGAAGTTTCTTTGCCCTGGGAATCACTGTTAGCGAATTGCGCGTTAAATGGAGAATTTGTCTAATTTTTTGCTCTCAAGTAAGTAGGTTTGATTTTTTTTTTTTAGTTTATTTAGGTTTGATTTGAGCTTGTGGGGTTTAGGGTTTGGTTATAAATTTCTAAATTTTTATAAGTCTCTCTAGAAATCATACTGAAGAAGTTGGTGATTTGTTTTTTTTTCCCCGGATTGGATGATTAGTTTGGTCTCGTTTTGTAGTGCATTCATTGTAGGAAGCAGAACATAATCCAACAAAGCAAATTGCAAATGGCTGCTGCGGCTAGCATCACGGACTCTGTTTCGGAAACAAACCCGAAACCTCAAACCGTATACCGGTGCAAGAAGTGCCGGAGAATCGTTGCTGCGGAGGAGAACATAGTTGCCCACGAGCGCGGGAAGGGAGAAATCTGTTTCAATTGGAAAAAGAGGAGTGTTAACATGGAAGAACCAGCTGAATGCACCTCCATATTTGTTGAGCCCATGAAATGGATGGAAGCAGGTAATTTCCAAACCATTCTTATTTTTATCTTTAGGCCAATCTATTTATGTATTTGTTATATATCATATATGCAATGCTTAATTCAGGCTTTGTTTTTTGAACTTGACAGTTCAAGAAGGTCATATGGAAGAAAAGCTTCAGTGCATGGGCTGCAAAGCTCGCTTGGGTTACTTCAATTGGGCAGGTATGCAGTGCAACTGTGGAGCTTGGATCAATCCTGCTTTTCAACTGCACAAAAGCCGACTGGACGAGTGCCGTTCATGAGACAATTAGTAAGTAGTATTAATTGGATAGTAGGGTAACTAGAAGGGCCAGTAATCACACTGGTGAACTCAATTTGGGATTGTTTTATAGAAGTTTTATTAACATCTTGAATGGTTGATGTAGTAGATTTGCCAATTCTAAATCACAATTTTATATACAACTAGTGACAGTTTCTTTGATGCTAATTGACTCATGATACATTGTTGATGTTTCATCTTCTGTTTCTTTTTTTCACTCTGTATAACCTTGCATCTTGGTCTCAACCCTCCATATTTTCTCTTACCTATCTAATAATAACCCAAAATCAGCGTCCCCTTTTATAATTGAAAATTAGGGCAACAGGATGTACAAGTGTGAAATCAATCTCCAAACACCCTTAGTGAAATTTTGATCTAGGATGGAAAGGTCAATCCTTTAATTCCTCTTCATAAGGCAATAATCGTGCTCCACGACTTTAATACTTGGATCTTGTAAACTTAATTTTTGTGTACACTTGCTGTTCAATCACCAAAAGTTTAGTCATCAGCTGATTGTTCTGGCTGATTGATCCCTACTGAGGGAAAGGTTGATGATTGAGTTGGGATAAAGGAAGGGCAGGGGGTATATTTTGATGTAGGGTGGAAAGGACTATTTTAAGTGTTGGGGGCGATAAAAGCATGACCATAGAATCTTCATCTTCAGTTAAAATACATTTGTGTTAGGCTTTCGGAGAAGAAAATTTTGCTTGAGAAAATTGCCGAACTTACCCTTAGAGTGCGTGACTCTGGATTTTTACTCTCTATTCTTGATTAGTCCCTTTTGACTGATATAATTATTTAGCTAAGAAAGATATTAATCAAGAATAAGGAATAAAAATCGGACCCATATACTCTAAGGGGTGTTTGTCTCTTTTTCCCAAATTACTTCTACTCTGACATTAAAAATTTAAGGTGTCATCAGTACCCTTCCATTAAGTAAGCGCTCCAGTTTTTACTTTTTGTGTTTAGTTTGGTTCAACTAATTCTTGCCAACTTTTATTGGTAGAAAATCTAGTATTATAATGTATCATCTGTTCTATTCTTCACTCAACTTACCACTAATCATGAGAAAATCTACCAAAACAAGTCCTTTAATGGGGGAAAAACTGGAAAACTGGAATGGAAGGGGGAAAAATGAAGAAGAAAAAGATGTCCAATTTATAGAATTCAAGTTGTGAAAGAATCAAGTAAAAACTTTACGAATCTGGTGGCCTTGGACAGTTTGATGGTCAAGGCTCTTGAAGTGAATTTTCCTAGTGGGCGGATCGCCGACGACTATCTCACTGACCAGAGGCCACAACATGAGCTCCTTAGCCTTAAATCCTTATCCGACCGACATCTTTTCTCTTCTCTCTACACAACGACTGAAACCAACATTAGTTTCCAGTTTTCTAGCAGTATATATGATGTCATTCTTACTGGTAATTGCCATTCTCAGCAAGCCAAATATACACTCAAGCGTATTTTTAATTTAACCAGGGGTAGAGGGAACTGAAGCTGGAGTTTGCTTAGTATTGTCTTTTATTTGTAAAAGAGCTTGCTCCCCTCCTACAATCAATTTCTTGCTTTAGATCAATTAAAAGGAAGAAAGGGTAGTTTTAAAATTTCATTCGTCATAGAAAACATTGCATAAACCATGAGTCCTAAAAGTAGAAAATTTCTTATTTTAATCCCATTTTACCAAATTCCACAACAAAATTGTCACATGTAATGTATTTGTGATGCAACTACATCTGACTTGGGTTGATAAATAATAGTTTTGCTTGCTTTCATGCTTTGCATGCTAACCTTTGGGCTTATCACTTATCATCGCGATTTTGACTTGTATATTTTTCAGTTAAATCCAACTAAAATCGAAACCCAATATTTTAGCGACAAACTCTAGTGTAGCAGTTTTAAGTCGAGTTATATGGTAGTTTAAGATGAGAAACTCTTTGAAAGTATCATTTGATTAATTGGTTTCTACGTACGTAGTTGACTAGTTATATTTTATAGGAACAGGACCAAAATTAGATTGAAACCAATTTTTTTTTTAGTATCCATTATCCAATCTAATTATGTAAAAATCCTTTGAAATCCAAATAATCCAATCCAATAAAATGCAACATCCAATCCAATCTAAAATCCATTAGATTGGATTGGATTGGATTGGGCTTGAGCTTTCATAAGAAAACGTTCTGAACTACATAAAACTTGCTCAGAATAAATAAATGAATAAATGATGGGTGAGCTTGACGATGGGCAATAGCCTGTAGGGATTCAACGATGCACTATGGAGGCACAGACGTTAAGAACTTTGATTTGTTGTGGTAAAATGACGAAACAATGTTAAATTTGTTGGTTCTAAGGTTTGCTGAAAAAAATTTCTATATTACATATATATTAGTATAGTTATTAATAATAAAATTGCATCAGATTGGATTGGTTTTATTGGATTTTGGAAATTAAAATCCAATAGAATTGGATGGATATTAAAAAGGGAAAATCAGAAATAAACACTCAAGATGGTAAAAAATATTATTTATGATACTTTATGCAAAAATAAATAAATTGTCATTCAATTAATAAAGAAAAAGTAAAATCATGATAAATCATGTACTTTTTTATGTATTTGGTTATCCAGTGAGAAAATTGTTTAGGATTTTTACTCTTACTCTTAGTTAATACCTTTTTATTAATATAATTATTTGACTAAAAATCATTCAATCAAACATCAAAGAGGTGTTATTTAAAGGAGTATTTGTCTCATTTTTTCTTATCCAATCCAATGAGATTTAAGCTGCCTATACAAGCTTGACGGAAGTATTAACAAGCATTATTTAAGCCCATTCAAACTCATGCATATGGTAGAAGTCAATGTATTAGTTGCATTAAAGATATTTTTTTTTTATTTATAAATGGAAAAGTTGGACCAAGGATGTTAGCTTTATTATTCTTTTTTATTAAAGCTAAAATCTGATTGTCGAGTACGACCATTTCTTCTACAACAATAACATATATTCATTGCGTGGCGACAATAACTAGTGAACTTATTCGTTGGTTTAATTTGCTGAGCCTTCCAAGAAAAAAGGAAGGGAAAAAGATATTTGATTCTAAACAAGAGGATCGAAAAGGGAATAACAATATCAATGCTCAATTTCTTCAAATTCGTACGTATTTTACTTAATTCCAGAATTTATCGGAAAAAGGAAAAAAAAAAAAAAAAAAAAAAAACTGCTAATAGAGTTCCAAAATTGCTACGTAAACACCCCAAGCATTATTTGACGAAATCTTCAGCGTCTACTTCGAACTTTCACAAGATATACATTTTCAAGTAATGCGCGCCGTTATGCTTAAAAGTTAAAAAGTCATCGTCAGTATCATCATTGTTAGGAAAAATTGAGTTTTGGCAATTACAAGTCAAAATTCCCTTGGCTTGCAATTTATTTTTTAGAGCGTATAATTTGGCCCAACTTTCAGAAAATTGTAATTAAAGAGATGTTTAGTTGGAGGATTCAAATTATAATTTGAATTATGGTTCATAATTTATTATAGTATTTTTTCTCACAAAAATACACGTAAATTAAAAATAATTTTAATTTATGAACTAAATGTCTCATAAATTATTCTTCGGACCAAAATTGCTTTAAAATTTTCTCAAAAAAAAAAAGAAGAGAAAAAACTACTTTCAATTAAAGCGTTTAGATGACATCTGTCAGACCGACTTCAACTTTTTATAAGAGTTTCCATTTAATTAAACCAACAACAGGGACGGAGGCAACCAATGCCTACGCTCAACTTTTTTCTTTTGATTTTTATCCTACATCCTCTATATATCTATAGTTGTGTTATAAAAAATTAGATATAGATCCCCTATAAAAGATAAAAATCTAATCTTAAAACCTTCAAAATTTTTAAAAATACTACTCTTTATAGAAATACCTTTGAGAATACTACCTTTTAAAAATACTACTAATCTTAATTTTAAAATTCTTTTATAACTAAGAATAAGCAATACACATTTATTAGTTTATCTACTTCTGACATTAGCATCAACTCTACTTGCTGTTGTTGCTACTATAGAGAGAGTATTTTTTTTTTCCTTACTATGAATATTTTAAATTAGAGATCAATTGATTAATGATGCTTTATTTGTGTATTTTGAGAAATATATCTTCAATAACCTTGATATGTGGATATTATGCAATATATTTAAAACAAGAAATCCCGTCGAAGACCATTTATAATAAACGTAATTAAAATTAAACCCCCTCATTAAAATTCTTAATTTCGTCACTGATCAACAATATATAAGTTCTTACAAATTTTAAAGCTTTATATCTAATATCAATAAGACATTATAAATTTTATTCTAATATTTTTATTGCTCAATAGAAATAAATTTAGAAATCAAATTGCTCATCATGAGTCTACGAAGATTACCAAGTAAACGTCAACATCAAACAGGAGGCTTTTGGTGCCGATCAACGCGAGAGGTCCCTTAAGAGGTTCAATTTCCAATGCCGTGTTTAGCTCCCCAAAGAAATCTCAGTAAAGTGGTTAATTGTCAACGACTTAACAGCATCACAAATTCTATACATATATGTATATCTATGTGTGTGTATATCTTCGTTTCTAAGTTTGTATACACGATTAAGTTTTGTATGCAAGGCAAGTTCAAAGTTCTGCAGGCTGTTGTTGCTTTCCAGACAACCTCACACGTACTTCCGTAATTAACAATTTAAAATTAGTTAGGGTTCATTTATTTATTACGTTTAAAATCATTGTTTTAATGTTGTTATAATATTTTTCTCTCATAAAAAATTTAAATTTTAAATATTAAAATAAAAAATTATTAATTCAAATGCATAAATCAAACGGCCTTTAAACTAACTCCTCATTAATCAGTAGAAATATGCTATTTAGGATGATATTAACGAGAAATTTTAAATGGATATATACCTATTATTTAAAAGTCAAAAGTCAAGCCTAATGATTTTCCTCGAACTTCTGATTCAGCTCCTAGTTATTACCCCTTAATTCTAAACTTTCGGATGATCACAATTAAAAGTCGAATGTATGGATACTATTTTATGGTTAAGGTCAAGATATAAATCTATACTGAAAGCAATTATGTAGTCATGGCGACAGACAGAAATATTAGAACCTGTTTGGTTGGAGGATTCGTTCTCTGACTCGAATCATGATTCATGGTTCGTTACAGTATTTTTTCTCACAAAAAATACACGTAAATCAAAAATAATTCTAATCTCATAGTTTTAATCTATGAACTAAACGGGCCCTTATTGTTTCAGTAATATGTGTATATTATCTTACATATATAATATATATATATATATATATAACAACTACTACGATATCCACCATAAATATGTATAATTAATTTGTAGTTTCTTTTTTTAAATATATTTGACCACGTACGAATGGGTATTGATCTTTATATCGTATCTTACTATCAAAGGTAAGATATTCTAGCAGGACCAGAAGTAACCCTTCAAATTTCTGAGCACTTGCTATGCACTTTCCAAAAGTCTCCATAAAGTTTTGTCGCTTCAAAGCAAGTTGGGAAGAGAAATAAATATTTTATATTATAAGCTTCGCTGTGGGGATGTCTATTGTTCTCTAGGCTAAAATATATTTATTCTTTCTTATCCGGCTTTGCTGTCTTGCAGCTTAATTGCTTTCCAAGGACAACATAACGAAGATGCTTCTCTGTCGCCTATATATTAAGTCCCAACTCCAATATTTTGCTTCACGTCATATCTTTAGTTTGTTATAGGGCTCATTGATATATATACACATATATATATATATATATTTGGCAAAAGAAAACCAATTAGCCAAGATTTCTCTAGCTATATAGCTTCAAACATGACGGTGAGATCCATATCTCTGTCCTCCTTGTGATCTTAATCTTTTTTTTTCCCCCTCGTCTATCGATCACATGTATTTATACAGTACTTGTCGCTTATGCGTTTATATATATGCATGTATTATATTGGTCGGCTACATATGGAAGTATCAATATTTTCAGAAGAAGAAACGTTCATCATAAAAATGTAACATTATGTCACCAGTCGTCCCACTCACTTTCTATAAGTTTAAATTATGGGCTTAATTTATATATATTAATCAGAAAGCTACTATATAATGTTCATAATATGGTACTGTTACCCATCCAAAAGTACTACGTTTATTATTATTATTATTTGCGATATATTAACACACAGCATTTGTCATCAAATCCTTAAGCGCCCAGTTCTCTGGAACCTGCAGGCGTTTTATCGTCAAATATTGACCAGTTATGTGTATGTGACATGGCCAATGCCTTTCCATTAAACTATGACTGGGACATTAGTATATATTTTGAACTTACTCACAAATACTTATATAAGTTTTCATTTACTAAACCCTATATATGATAAAGAGTTTAATGATCTAGTTTTGCCAAAATTTGTCCATGAAGATCACAGCTTCTTAATAATTGATAATGTATTAATTATATGCTAGATAATAAAAGCAAACTTTTGGTTTTTTGATACTGTGCAGGTAGTAGAGTTGATTGTAAATATGGACTGCGCTGGTTGCGAGAGCAAGATAAAGAAAACTCTTAAAAAGCTTAAAGGTATATATGTATCAGAACTCTACAGTAGAATACGAAAAAATACAGTATCGATAGAATACAGTTTTAAATCGTGATTTCGTCAAAATCAGTTAAATTATCTTTTTTTTTTTCTTCCTTTCCGCACGCTACCATAAAATTATTCTTCAATCTCTCGCACCTTTAAGTGCTAGTTATAATATATTTTTTTTCCTACAATAATTTTCATGTTTTAACACCTAGTTTGTTGTTCACCGTCGACTATAATTTGATGATGATTTAGGGGTGGACGATGTTGATGTGGACCTGAACATGCAAAAGGTGACGGTAATGGGATGGGCGGAGCCAGAGAAGATTCTGAAGGCCGTGAGGAAAACAGGAAAGAAAGCTGAGCCGTGGCCGTACACACCCGAGAGCCAGCACAACGTCGCCGTTCAGCAGTTTTATTTGCAGCACCATCACGGCGAGAGTGATGATCATCATGAATATTATCATCCATTCACTGCCTATGATGTACCGAATCTGCCCTCCATCATTTCCCAGAATTACCTTCCCCAAAATGGTAGTGATGAATATAATTTTGGCTATTATTATGGCCGTAATACTTATCAAATACAGCCCCCTTATTCAACCCTCGTTGATCACAAGGCCACCTCCATCTTCAGCGATGACAACCCCCACGCTATATATATATTCAGTACACTCTTGTTTTAGGTTTTTTTTTTTTTTTTTTCATGTTTTATGTGTTAGTAAAACCTAATAGTGTGTGTATATATATCTGTGATAGTGCTCGAATTTATGCACAAGTTATATGGTGTACTCGCCGAGTTTGGGTTTGATTATTCTCAATTTTATCTAATTATTACTTATTTAGTTCCGTGAACGCATTAATATGTATATACTGTAAAAGAACTAAACCTATGAAATCCAAATTCAAAGGCATTGAGAAAAATTAAATAATGTTAATATTGTTGAAAAATCATGACCTTGGGTTTGCTTATATTAGAGTCCATTTCGTAAAGTTTTTACTTATACTTTTACGTGTTGGTAGTAGAAAAGCAAATTTTTATAAGGTTTAAGGGGTATGGATAAAAAATTTAAGAGGATTCATGGATATGAAAGAAGAAATAATCTTAACACGGCCGTTGATTTTTAAGGTTTATAGCATTTTTGTCCCCAATTATTTTTGGATTTTGCAGCATTTCTCCAAACTTTCAATTTTTGACGCTTCACCTCTGAACGACTGCTTCGAATGTGTGTACATACACATATGCAATATGAGCAAAATTTTGCTTAATTCCTCTCTTAGAAACAAAAATGCTTACATTTATACGCTTTATTCTTTGGAAAAATTACACAGTTGCCCTCTCAAACTATTAGCCTTGCCACATAATGTTTCCTGAACTTTAATTTTAGCTTATCATCCCCCTTTCTTGACATTCTTATAAATCTTTCCCTCTGTTAAATTCTTGATGAAAAATGTCACGTAAAATGTAAAAATTAACAAAAGAACTCTTTATGTTAACATTTTTTAACATAATTCACATGTATTACATAAATAATGAGCGTCGTTTGAATAATTTAGTAGACAATTACTCTGTTAGCTCTTGCTCATGCAAGTCACGTGAAAGTGCAATTACATAACATGAGATATTTTATTTTTACTACACCTAACTTTCTCCTTAATTTACTTGACTTAGGAATTTTTGGGCGTTCATAAATGTTGGCCAACAACAATAATAGAAGTAAAAATTTAATAAAGGGATAATTTTGAAGAGTTATTGAAATTCAATGAAAAAAACTATAATTATAATTTAGAGAGCATTTTATAATAAAATTTATAGTTAAGGCAACCGTATAATTTGTCGTGAGGAGCTATGCACGTGCTCGGTCTTTTATGCCCATTTCTTTTCTAGTTGGCATATATCCTTCCAGCGGTCCCTAAGTCCCACAATCTAATTTCTGATATGGACAATGAAAAACGAAATTCAAAAACAAAAATAAACAGAAAAACGATAAAATTTCAGCAAAGTTTCCACTTTCCAGCTTGCTATAAAGTGCAGCCATAATATTGAACAGAAATAATTAATAAAATTCATCTCAATAACTAAATAATACACTAAAGTCTTCACACTAAAACAATAAAATTATTATTCTCCTCTACTATTTATTTAATATATAAGTATGTCGAAGTATATGTATATAAAAAACAAAGAAATAATGATGAGTGAGTATTTTATTCACAAATCAAGTACTTTTGAACTTGAGTATTTATAAATTTTTAAGTATTTTTGTTAGTTTAATGTGTTTTTATTTTGTTTTTGTAGGTTGAAGTTAAAATAGAATAAAAGAAGCACAAATTTGACTTTAAAACATACTTCAGTATTTGAGACATAACTCTCTCATTTAAAGTTCAATAAGCTGATCTTAGTGACATTGGAAAGATAAGAGATAGAACAACAACTTTTGTGAAGATGCCAAACACTAATTCAACCATATAGAAAGTGAAAATCCTAATCAAAGTTACACACCTACTACAGTAGGAAATCCATTTGCTACAACGGATTTCCTACCTGAGAGCAGGAAAACCACACACCCGCTACAACGGGAAATCCATCCGCTGCAGCGATTTTGCTATGTTTTTTTCTCAAAAACCTTGGGAAATTGACCTGCTGCAGAGCCCAGACACAAAATGCTGTCAATTTGAGCTGATTTGGAGAGATGTAAAAGGGGAGAAGACTTATTTTCCCAAAATTAGAGAGGAAAAGAGGAAAAAGAGGCACAAAATCTATTGAGAAGAAGGAACTTTGGAGGCTCAAATCCTATGATTTCATTGAAGATCCTTGAAGAAGATGGTGGATTCAAGCTTAGAAGATCATTCTTCCAACATAGTTCTTCCTTCTTCCTTTATTTCCTTTTTTGTTTTTAGATTTTATTTTTGGTTATGGATTCTTCTATGTTGAGCTAGATTATTATTCTAGTACTTGATGTAACCTTGTTTGAACTATGTTTTGAATATTTTGCCAATTGTTAGTTTGATTTCCATTCAATTCATTTGTGTTTCTCCATGTTAATTGCACTAATTTGTGTTTTCATGGATTAGATATATAGATGTGCAGATTTAGACTCGGGAGTGTTACTTTCACATGTTAGAATTGGAAAAACACAACCTAGAGTTAGTTGAGTTCGGGAGGCCAATTAATTCGGGTAATGAAAATTAGGTTGCTTAATGGATGCCTGATTTGGTTAGTATAATAGTGATATTGTTTAACTGAGTTTTCCATACTATTTTGCTCGGGACTGGGGAGAGGAAGTGAAATTACCTTCGTATTTTAAGATTATTGAATTGAGTGGAATTGGCTAGCAATAGATAAATATGATGAATATAAGAATTATAGGGTGAAGTCATGTCCCTATTACATTTGTGCATAGGAGTTTTCATATTTTATTTCATTTTTCCTATTTATATTTGTTCTTGTTATATTCTAATTTCAATTAGTTCGGATTCCTAAATAAAGTTTCGTTACAATAATTGCGGTACTTAGTGATAATTTAACACCCAATCCCTGTGAGACGATACTCAGTCATCCTTTACTATGGAGACTTGACACCGTACACTCGCGGGCTTATAAATAACATTAAGTCAGCACGAAAGGGGAGTGCTTTTCCCACCCCCACTCGGAAGATAATATCACGAGCCTCCATACGATCATCCCCACTCCCATCCCTATTTAATAACCCCGTACTCAATTTAATAGAGTGAGTACTTACAGTTAAAAGTGTCATTCTTAATCGCAATTACTGGTTGCAAATTGAAGTGATTACGCATGTATATGCAAAACGGTTGCAAATTGATGTTCTTTAGATATATCATTTAAATTTAAGAATTTGACCATAAAATACTAAAACTAAGCCAATTAATGAACTTGTCAAAATAGTATTAGAAGATAGTCAATAATACGAACAAATAGGACATTACATATGAAAAATCAATAAACCAATGAGATTTTAATGATGACATTTTGTATGAAAATAATCAAAATGTGATAAAATGAGTGTCAGGAAAGTATCCATGTATCAAGCAAAAGTAAACTGACATTCGATTAAAAAGATCATACTAGACAGACTTATAACCAGATCATCATATAAACTATACAAACAGAAAACCTAATTTGTATGTTCAATTTTCTTTCACCCATTTTGCGCGCAATTTATTTAAAATAGCAGTTATATATATCATTGTTTAAAAAAAGAAAGAGAAAAAAAAGACATAAAAGAAATGAAGATAAAAGCGATAAAAATATATGAAGTAAAAGACACGGAAAAATGATTTTAACTTATTTCATTGTGTTTTATATTAGTTCTATTTTGTTTTGTTTAATTTATTTTTTATTTAATTTAGTGTGATTTTAATTTATTTTAGTGCATTTTTATTTATTTTTATTTTTATTCATATTATTCATAGTATTTTTATTTGAGCAGTATCGAAAATTTAGTGCAAAATAGTGTTAAAATAGACAAAATCGAACCACAAATTAGTTCAAAATAAATAAATAATAATAAATAAAATCAAAAATGATTTCGGCCATCAGATGAAGCTTATCAACGATCTTGGTTCGCACGTGGATAGTAGCACAGAAAATGAGAGTAGAGCAGTAGGCATGCATTAGGCGGGTCCCGTCATGAATCTCAATCGGCTAATTAAAACGTGACACGTGGCGATTCTGTCGGCCACTTTCCATCATGATTCCCTGCATCATGATTCACGTGGCAAACTAAAAGGATGAACAATTTGCGCAACTACACATTATACATACTATTAAATGAGGCACCCGGGTTACTGTTCTTAGAACAGTTCCCGGTCCTTCCTCTCCCTCTTCTTTGGAAAAATTCCGGTTGTGTCCTAAGTTTGTGTGTTTACCGTTTTATTCTTGATTTTTTATTTTTGTTTTGGTTTTTGTTTAGGTATTTTTGTCTTATCCTTCAATTTGGAAAAATTCCAGTTATGTCCTAAATTTTGTTTTTACCGTTTTATTCTTAGTTGTTTATTTTTACTTTGGTTTTTGTTTGGGTATTTTTCTGGACTTCTTCATTTATGCCCATTTATTTTTTTCCTTTTTTTCTCTCTTGCTTTTCGTGAGGTTTTCATTTATGCCCATTTATTTTTTTTCCTTTTTTTCTCTCTTGCTTTTCGTGAGGTTTCTGGGATTAATATCGTTCTTGAGAAGCTTCCTCTTCTTTCGTTTCTGTTTCTACGCCTCAATCTCTTAGCTTTTGTTGCCTCTTTTGCTAAAGTTCCTTTTCTTTGTTTCTTCTCTACACGTTCTCTTCGTTTTTCTTATGGTTTTTTTTTGGTTTATTGTGTTTTGGTTCTAAGTTTTTTCTCTATTTTATGTTTTTGGGCTTCTCTTTAAAAATTTTTGTTGTTTTTCCATTTTTTGCAATTTGTTTTGACGAAATAATTCTTGTGTCTAAATAAATAGTCATTTGTGTTTAGATAAATTATAGATTATAGATTATACATAACGAGATGTCGTTATTCTATAGTTCAGTTATCCTCTCGCTGCATGGATCAACGTGTCGTTTTTTGTTTTAAGCTATTATTTTGGGTCGTAGGATGGCGTAATCCACACAAGATAGACATGGACTGGCGAGCTTAGGCGGCTGTACGTCTGTATCCACCTTTATTACAAGGTAGGCATGTTTCATTGGCCAGTTGCCAACACTCCATGCCTACAACAAAATTAGGGTTTTGACCATGTGGACCCTCCGTCTCCCTGCCATAGTATGGTACTGTTTATAAACTTAAAACAAATAGTGATGTAATAATAATAATATAGGTCATTTATTTTTTTTCTCGAATAATATAGGTCATTTATTTGCATAGATAAAAAAGATTATGTTGGCCTAAATGTCACCCCAATCTAGATGGATACTATCAATCACGCCAATCTAGATGGATTTTATCAATCTCATACATGGTTTTAGAGAGGGCAGCGAATCAAAACTATAAAAAAAACTAATGTTTAAAAATTTAATATTACACATACTTATTTTAAAAAAAAAAATACATAATATATGTATGTTAGGACGGAGACAAGACGAAAAGTGTTTATTCACTCCTCACTCTACCAAAATTCAAAGACAAGACGTTGTCTTTAATTCTAATTGTTATTCTCCATCCTCACTCTTTCAGAGTGGATCCCCCGTCCTCGTAAGAATTCCTGCCATCTTTACATGGATTAGTATATCAGATTAAGAAATAATTGCAGTGATGAAAAATGAACAAAGCGAGTTATACTTTCACACTACTTAAATTAAATAAAGAGTTGATATAACTAGGAACGCAAGATTTATATACATAAGGATTGTTTATAAATTAGAGTATTTTTTTG